AATGAGTTATCTTTATTCAATTCTTGAAAAGATGATTTGATTTAAAAAACAGCAAGATTATATTCAGAATTTAAAAGAGATGATAGAAAGAAATCAACACACAAATTTATACTGGTTCACTCTAATCCAGAGCTACGTCCAGTTCTTGACAAAACCTGTCAAGTTTCCACTAATACCAAGTGACAATTACAATCCGTAGATCCTCACCAATCTACACCAAGAACTATCTTTTCAACCTATAAGATAGAATCTTGAAAAACACCCAGTAACCAAATCCAGTTACTGTACCAAGTGTAGCTTACAATCCAATCTACACAATTCACACGATACAAAAGAATAAGGAAAGAAGAAACCTGGACTTTGAATTCTAATTGCCCAAGCACCAATTCTAAAGCACTCTCTCGTCGTGAATGACCACAATGTTGATCAAAGCACCTTATGATATGACAAAATCTTGAATGCGAGAGAAAAACGTAGATGAACGATTCACAGATTGATTTCTCAAGTTTTCTCAAGTAGTGTGTTGTATTGTATTGTATATCTCAAAAGTTAGATCAAATCAGTATATATAGAGTAAATCATAGAATCAGATCGATTCAACTGTCAAAAAGCTGTTTGAGAGTCAAAAGATCGATTAGTTTAAAGTAAAACAGGTTTAGAAGAGACTCGATCGATTAGAACCGAAGTATGATCGATCAGACCGAAGTTATGATCGATTAGAACTGAAGTATGATCGATCAGACCGAAGTTATGATCGATTAGAATCGAAGTATGATCGATCAGACCAAGTTATGATCGATTAAAATGAAACTATGATCGATCAGAATATTATTTCAATCGATTAAAATATCGATTCAATCGATTGATTTCATTTAAAGTTCCATTTAATCGATTAAGACATCGATTCAATCGATTGATTTCATTTAAAGTTCCATTTAATCGATTGATTCGAGTTTTAATGGATTAAAACAACTTAATGAAAAATGACAACACTCTGTTTCAATCGATTGAAAATCATTTCAACAGATTAAATTCCTGCAAATACTTAGTTAAAAAATAGTCTCTCTGTTTCAACAGATTGAAAAATATTTCAACAGATTGATTTTCTAAAAACTCTTAGACTTAAAAAATATCTTTATTTTAACAGATTGAAAAACGTTTCAACTGATTGTTTTTCCGAAAACTCTTAGATTGAAAAATATCTTTCTTTTTCAACAGATTAAAAAGTATTTCAATTGATTGTTTTTCCGAAACCTTCATATTGAGAAATTTACTAAGTTATTTTAACTTGTTGATTCTCGCGAATCAATCAATTGAAAATACGATTATATAGAACCACTTATTACGTTAAGTGATTTTAACCGATTGAAAATCTTTTTCAACAGATTGAAAAACTTAGTTTGTTCTTTTAATGCGGAAAATGATTTTCAATGCTATGCGGAAGATTAAGGCGCTTCATCACAACATATAATGGCCTATCAAGGGATTAAGTGCTCAAGCTAAAAAACCTAATCATCTACACACCCACAACCTAAACTAAATTTATGTCTTCATCAAATTATATCTAAGTCTTCATCAAATCCACCAAGTGCTTCAATCTCCCCCTATTTGATGGAGACAAATAACCACCGCACCTGCATAAAATCGGACCGGAGACATGCATACCGAGAGACATATATTTTGTGATGTGGTGTGTGTGTAGTGGCAGTTTTAATCAAAATAATTCTCCCCTATTTGACTGCATCAAATAGATTGTCATGGATACAGTCTAATGGGGCCACTTGAGAACCCCCAAATAAAAAGCAGAATATAAAACCAACTAAGAAAAGAAAAGAAAAAAAAAAAAAACAGAATTATCAGCGAGACATTGATCGAGTAAACTTCAATCATCTCCGGGACCTGGGTTGAATTGTATTTCCACAATTCCGTTGTAAATGTCTTCAAGTTGATTATCGATGTGCTGGAACCTTGCAATAAAATTCTCATCCAAATAGTGTTGTCGAGCCCTTATAGTCGTAGTCATATTCATATGCCTCCTTTGATCAGCTTGAAGTTGATTCATTTGTCTGCAGCATTGTTCTTTCAAACTGTGACGAGAGGTGTGCCACGGTCAGGGGTGGATTATATGGAATCATCTCCAGCGGGATCACTTCTTCCATAGGATCAGATGGATGAGCTCCGAAGTGCCAGGAATATCGGTGTTGATATTTTCTTCCTCTTGTTCATCTTCATCACTTTCTTCATCTCTTCCAAGCATCCTCCTTGGAGACCCACTCACCATCAACTTTCATAAATCCCATTTTGTGAAGCATAAAGTTATTTATTTCGTTTGTTGAACGAACTGTCTCGACAAGTTCTCCTTCAAGATCAACACCAAAATATGTTAAAAATTTGGAAATCGAGTATAGCATAGGGGTACCTGAAATCACCGAGTCTTTTTGCCTTGATCATGTGGTCTTTGATGACAAAAACCCAGTTCACCCGAATCTCGTGGTGAATG